TTCCCTCTGTCCACCAGGTATCCTATATTGCTTCGCATTAACCATCTGAATGGGTTCAGGCAGTTCTAATGGTTCCCGTTTAGCACATCCAGTCAGCACTGACCTCGGGGCAGACTTAACATGTCTCAGCTTTACAATATCTGGTGGAGGGAGTATTTCCCAATTGGACATAATAACCATATTTTAATCAATTAGTTGAGCTTTAATAGAGTGGGGTCTCAGGATATCAAGGTATAGAAAGAAGAATAGATTCTTGATAGCACAGTGACCTTGTGAGCAGCAGCTCTGAACCCTACCTTTTCCTGTGCCATCCTCACACCACCTCTGACATATATGACCCCATTGTTACAGACACTGTGTCTGTCTCATTGAGGGTCTTCTGCTCTTACACTGACCCTCCATTTTTCCAAGCATGATATCCTCCTCCACGGACTGTCCCCTCCTTACAACAAGCCCAAAGTGTGTGAGATGTAGTTTCACCATCCTTGCCTCCAAGGACACCCTGGTTTACTTTCTCAGACCTGTTTGTTCTCTTGGCAGTCCCTCTACTTTGTTTTTCTAATAGTTAGCAGCTTGCTTATGGAATCTTCAGGATTTCAATATATAGGCTTGTCATCTGCCTCTAAGAATAGTTTGACTTCTTCTTTACCAGTTTGGATGCATTTTCTTTCCTTTTCTTGCTGTTTTGTTGTAGCTAGATCTCCCAGCACAATGTTGAGTAAGAGTGGTGACATCTTTGTCTCATTCTCATTTTCTTTCCTTCTCTGCATTGCGATTAAATTGGGTGTTGGTTCTGAATAAATGTTTCTTTAATTTTTAAGAATTTCCCTTTTATTTCCATTTTACTGAAAGCTTTTTTCAGTTTTGTGTGTTGAATTTTGTCCAATGCGTTTTCTGCATTAAGTGATGAGGTTATGTGTGGTTCTGTCCTGTCTTTTATTTATGAAGTGGATTACACTGATCATTTTTCTCATGTTGGACAACCCTTGCATACCTCGTATCAATCCTGCTTGATCATGACTTTGTTTATTTATGCTGCCTGATTCTGTTGGCTAGAACTTTACTCAGAGTTTCTACATCCTTATTTATAAATTATGTTGATCTGTAATTTTCTTCTCTCCCTCTGTCTCTCTCTCTCATGGGTTATTTTAATAGATGATATTATTATTATTATCATCATCATCATCACTTGATTATCTTCTTTTTTTTTGTTATGAGTCAGCTCATTTTTTCTACCTCAGTTGGTGTTAGTTTATGTTTCCAAAAATGCCTTATTCTCCTCTAGGTTTTCATAGTGTTCTGTTACCTTTTAATTTCCGTTAGTTCTGTTGTAATGTCTCCCTTCTCATTTCTTATTTGGGCTGTTTGCTGGTGCTTCTGATGTTCTCTTGTCAATATGGCCAGTGGTTTATCAATTCTATTGCTCTTGTCCAAGAACTATCCACAGTCCATTCCTTCCTGTTGTTTTTCCATTCTCCGTTTGCTTGCATTCTGACCATTAGATGTTCCTTTCTTCAGTGACTGTGGGTTTCTTTGGCCGTGTCAGTCTAGTTGAACCTGAGACACAGAAGACCTTGACCTTAAAGTTTTATGGCTTGAGTATAATGTACAGTGGGAGATCTGGTGATGAGTAAGGAATTGTGCTGCCAACCCAAAGGGAGATGGTTCAAATCCACCAATTGCTTCACAGGAGAAACATGTGAGCAGACTCTTCCCATGCAGTTTACTGCCTGTGAAAACGTGCTGGAGGGTCAGCTGTGGGCTGGTTCCAACTTGACAACACACAACAATCTAGTTGTTCAAATTCTATAGTTAATGTTTTGATTCTGGTCCTTTCTTTTTATTTCTATATTTAATGTTATAAATCTGCCTCTGAGTATTGCTTTTGCTTTCTCAGTTTTGTTTTTAAGGTGAAAAATAAAGATAGATTTATTAGAAAGTTATAATCCAAAGAGAGGAATTTCCCTCCTTGAAAGGAAATATGGAGGAGGGGCCAATATTCAGAATGTTACTCGGTTTCTGTAACTTTTCCCTTTTTGCTCTTGTTACTGATTTCTCCTTTCACAGCAGGTGGTCAGAGAAGATGCTCTGTGTTGCTTCACTGTTGGGATTTGATTGAGGCCACTTTATGACCTAAAATGTGATCTTCTCTGGAACATTGTCCATGTGCACTGGAAAGAACATGGACTTTGCTGCTGTTAGGTGAACTCTGGCTTTACAAAGTCCATTCATTTATATTTATTTGGGAATGTCTTGGTTTCAATATGATATTTGAGAGAGTTTTCAGGACCATTCGTGGCTAGCAGTTCTTTTCCTCCAGGGTTTTGTATGTGTCTCCACAGGGCTGCCTGGCCTGCGTGCTTACTGCTAAGTTGGGGTGGGGGGTGCGGCGAGGCAGGGGAAAACTGTCAATTCACAGGTGTCTGCTGGGAACTTGTGCCTGTCCAGTAGAGCACCATTCAGGGAAGGCCAGACCTCAAGCCCCGAGAGCCACTGACTGGAGAAAGTAGGAGAAGCCTCTGGTCTGTAGGCCCCTAGTGTGGGCGACACCAGCAGCTGGGAGAACAGTAGGTGTTGCTAGTCTGTGGTCTCTGGTGCAGATGGCTGGGTCTTTGAGCAGGTGCCTCATTTCATGGGTTCCCTACACCAGTGGCAGGGTAGAAAGGTGGGTGCCACCAGTCTGCCAGTCCCTGGCACATCTAAGTGAGTGAAGAGGTGGGCATTGCCGATCTCTGGGACCCTTTCTCAGAGGATGTGGTGGTGGGTGCCACTAGACCACAGTTTGGGGAATGATGGAGGAAAGTGCATGCTAGGGGATCTCTGGTGGAGCATGGAGGAGAATGTGCACCAAGAGGTATAAAGGGGGAGATTGGAGATTGTGTGCTAGAGGGTCTGTCAGGGGGAGTGGGGATTGTGTACCAGGAGGTCTGTCAGGGGGAGTGGAGATTGTGTACCAGGGGGTCTGTCATGGGAAGTGGAGATTGTGTCCCAGGGGGTCTAGAGTGGGGAGTGGAGACTGTACCAAGGGATCTCTGGGGATGCAGTAGGGGTACAGTGGAGACTGGGCACCAGGGGTCTGTGGAGGGTAGTGGAGATTGTGTACCAGGGTGTCTGTGGGGAGAATGGAGAGTGTACCAGGGGCTTAGAGGGTGGGAGTAGAGATTGTGTACCAGAGGATATGTGGAGGGGAGTGAGACTGTGCACCAAGATCTTTAAGAGGTAAAGCGGGTGACCTGAGCACACCTCACATTCCAGGGCAAAAAGCACCCTTGGTCCACTCTGGACGTGGGTGCAGTCACCCCTGCTTGGCTGCACCAGGTGATGGGCTTTGGCCGGGAGCTCTGCGTGCTATACCTAAAGACGGCTGTGCTGTGCGATGCACCTCAGAGTTGTTGTTTATGTGTTCACTGCTTTTACGCAGATTCTTTCGACTTGGTGCTTGGTCCAAACGTTCCGAGGTTGTCATCTGTATCCATTTTCACTATGTTCTCAGGTCTTCCTTTTGCGAGGGAGGTCAGGACGCCTCTAGTTGTGCGGCGCACTTGGACTACCCCTGAATTCTTACTGGATGCCTCCTGCTGGGCCTCCGGCTTTCCCAGTACCTTCTTGTTTTATTGGTACAACCTTATCTATCAAGGAGGACATTTCTGTTCCAGAGACTAAGTAACGTCCAAATTATACAGCTCTAAGTTACAGGCTGGGAGTTCTCCAGACAGGAAAATCTGGAGAAATGTAAATAACTTGATTCTGGTGTAAGGTTTCTGCAAAAGAATTCGTGTTTTGAGGTATATGGAGCTTGTAATAAAACTTGATTTTTTTTAAAAATCAAGTTATTAAATTGTAATCCATCCCCAAGGAGAACTAAAAAATTCAGTCTTCTGAAATCTCTCCAAGAATAGAGTAAAGCTGCACAAGTTAAAGCATATTTGGGCCTGACACTCCAAGCAAACTGTTGATTGGTGGTGGTGGTGGTATGTGCTGTCGAGTCGCCTGTGACTCATAGCAACCCTATGTACAACAGCCCTAAACCCTGCACTATCCTGTGCCAATCGCTATGTCTCTGACACACCTATCCCCATTATCTCAGTGACTGACTCTCATCGAGGGTCTTCCTCTCCTGTGCTGTCCCTCCACCCTCCCAAGCATGACGTCCCTCTCCAACAACTGGTCCCTCCTTGCAACACGTCCAAAGTAGGTCAGACAAAGCTTCAGAATCCTTGCCTCCAAGGAGCAGCCTGGCTTCACCCTCTCCAGGATGAACTTGTTTGTTCTCTGTCCCTGGTATATTCAATACTTTTCTCCAGCACCACAGCTCAATGTCATCAACTCTCTTTCTATCCTCCCTAGTCATTGTCCAACTCTCTGACGTATAGCAAGTGATTGCAAAGACCATGGCCTGTATCAGGCACACCTTAGTCTCCAGACTGACATTGTTGCTCTTCAATACTTTGGTGAGGTCTTTGATGGCAGACTTTCCCAGTGTAATTCGTCTTTTCATTTTCTGGCTGCTGGTATCAAGAGTGCTGTTTGTAAAGCCAAGCAAACTGAAACTGTGAACAATATCAGTCTCTTCATCATCCATCATGATGCTGCCAATTGGCCCAGTGGTGAGAATCTTTGTTTTCTTGACATTGAGCTTCAATCCATATTGAAGGCTGCAGTCCTTGACTTTCTGCAGAAAGCACTTAAGGTCCTTCTCAGTTTCAGCAAGCAGGGTTGTGTAATTTGCATAATGCAGATTGTTGATGAGTCTACCTCCAATCCTGATTCCACACTTTGCCCCGTAGAGCCCAGCAGTAAAAATATATTCAAATCATAGGAATAGGAAGCCTCGTGGCCTGCGCCACCCAGTCCAATCTGAAATGTTTTTGTCATTCACTTGCAGAGCCGAGTGTGTGCGTGTGTTTGGCTTGTCTCTGCCCTGCCCCCTCCCTGTCTGCCGGGCAGTGTTCTGACTGACCTGACTGACTGACGTGTCTACCTGACCTGTCTGCCCACAGGTATGCTCCAGAAGTGCCCTTCCATCGATGACTTCGTAGGTGCCCTTGTGTCCGACTTGGACCTGGACTTTGAGACCTTCTTCATGGATTCTGAGTAATGGACGCACCCTGCATATCATCAGTCAGGATCATGGCCACGTCAGTGCTGCAGCTGTGGAAACTTGTTCCCGTGTTCACTTCTGTAATAACTTCTGAAAACCACTAAACTGAGAAAACTTCAAATAAATAATTTGTTTTAATTATGCTGGCTCTGGGCCTGTTTGGCAAGTTTGTGAACATCTGGGAATCCAAGGGAGTGAGTGAACATAGACTTGAACATGGAAGAGTTGTAGGAAGGGTGTAGGCATGCCCTCCCCACAGCCACCCTGTCCTTGAGCTTTCCCCCATCCAGGTTCTCCTGCCAGTCTTTCATTGGTTAAATCACATGCTTAATTAAAAACAAAGCTAGTTCAGTTGCAGACTCAGCTTAAAGCAGGCTTCAGAGGGCTTACACGTACAGTTCTTTGAATGGTTGCCATTTCTTAAGACCAGTCTACTGAGCTTTGAAGATGTCCTTAGAATAGTAAGTTAGAGCAACCGAGAAGCCAACGGTGACTCCCCCAGCACTCAGAAGAGTCTGATCATGTCTTCTTCAGCATTCTGGCTGTACACAAGCAGACCTGGAACACAACAGAGCTTGAGCTCAGTTATACGGCTTGAATATGAATGTTCAGTGGGAGGGAGGTCTAGTGGAAAAGGAGTTGCGCTGCCCCCCCCCCGAAAGCAGATGGTTCAGATCCATCAAAGAATCCAATGGAGAAAGTTATGAGCAATCTCTTCTCATATGATTTACTTCTCTGAAAACCCACTGGAGGGTAGCCATGAGTCGATTCTGACTCGACAGCACACAACAACAACAATATGAATGTACAGATTGTAAATGCATGTAATAAGTTGATAACGCTATATAAAGCAACTGTAAACAAGGAAACTGGGATTTGAAGCATCCCCAAGCCAGATCCTCTGCCTTTGAGTAAATTCTGATTCATGCTAACCTTCCCATCAGGATTTTGAAACTGTAAGTCCTAACAGGGATAGGTTGGCTTCATCCTTCTCCCACAGAGCAGTTGGTGGATTCAAACCACTGACCTTTTAGTTAGCAGCCCAGCTTGGAATGCACAAGCCTATCAGATCTGTCTTTATCTAGATGACATACTATGCTGCAGTTTTGTAATGCTAGTAAAGGTATTATTTAGTTAATGGGTTTTTCTCTCCGCCATTAAAGCCAATTTAATGTCATTTGCTAGCCCTTCTTCCTGTTTCTCTCTAAATGACCAATAATGATGGAAAAAGAAAAGGTTAGCATTCCCCAAAAGTAGGTCAGACTTCCAGCCATGAATAGAGTAAGGAGGAATCGCTCCAGGCCAAGAAACAAATGAGAATGGATGGTGAACCCTGTCAGGGACCCTCCTTCCCCACTGCCTGCTCAGTTAGAAACCGCAGGTCAGAACCGCGCAGTGCAAGTGTGTGGCTGGCCGGCCACCGAGGCGAGCAGTGGTTCCACAGCCCCACCCTTCTGGTTCACCCGTTCCCTGCTCTGAGTCTCTCAGCCTGTGAACACTTGGAAACTGCAGCTCAGAAAGTACTTAGGCTGGAAGTAGGGCAGGACTGGCAGTGGCGCCTCTAAAGTGGGCAGAAGGGGAGCGGGGCTTGTGGGGAGCTGGCAAAAGGAAGAGCCCCAATGCCAGGGCTCAGGGCGAAGCTGAGCAGTTTCTGGATCCCACCAGGGTCTGAGCTTGGTTGTGGAGCCAGGAAAGCTAATACTCCAGCAGACGGGCCCAGTGTGGGTGCCAGCTTCCCTCGGGAAAGGCACTTAAGGGGCATACGTTCTCTCTAGGTCTGTGTGCCTGGGGCTCGAACAGCCGTTGTCAGTTAGTAGTGATCTGTTGAATAAACGTTAGTAGGTAAAGTTATGGAGGAGGTTTTTGAGATGAAAAGAAAAAATGAGTGATCAGTGTTATATTCCAGACAAAAATGGTCAAAAGAGATGCTCAACTATAAAAACCTTAACTTTGTTTTTGAGAATGTAATATAAATAGAACTTAAATATATGCAAGTACATGTGTGTTTGTATAGCTGTGGTGGTATAGTGTGTTATGTGCTGTACTACTAAACAAAAGGTCAGCAATTCTAATCCATCATCTGCCCTACTGTTGAAAGATGAACGGTCTTTTCTCATGAAGAGCTTTGGAAACCCAGTGATGGGTTGCTGTTTGTCGGAATGAACTGAAAGCAGTTGTTATTGTTGTTGTATGCCATCAAGTTGCCTGCGACTCGTAGAAACCCTATGTAAAACAGCCCTAAACCCTGCTCTATCCTGAGCCAACCCTATTGTCTCTGACACACCTACCCCCATTACCCCAGTCACCAAGTTAATCCGTCTCATCGAGGGTCTTGCTCCCTTGTGCTGTCCGTCCTCCCTCCCAAGAATGACATCCCTCTCCAAGGACTTGCAACATGATCAAAGTACATCAGATGGAGCTTCAGAATCCTTTCCTCTAAAGAGCAGCCTGGTTTCACCCTCTCAGTGTCTTTTATTTATATAACATCAGAAACTGGCTCTTGTTGAATGCTTCTTGACAAGTATATGTTTAGAAGTTTATGCACAGTAGAATTCAACATTGCACATGCAACCCAATATTCCCCAAAAAATGGATTGTAGGACTATCCCCCTTTTTAAAATATGTACTAATGACATGTTTCATAACTGTAGGAAATAACCGCTAAGGAATTCATACAGAAATGAACTTATTGTTTTGTTGAGTGTACTGCCAAGTCAGGACCAACTGATAGCTGACCCTCCAGTGGGTTTTCAGAGGCAGTTAATCACACAGGAGGAGATTGCCCATCCTTCTTCTGTGGAGCAGCTGGTGGAATTGAACCTCTTGCCTTTGGTATTGTAGTGCAGCTTCTTACCAGTAGGCCACCAGGGCTCCCTTATGAAAACAAAAATGAAAGTGATCTGACAGTACAACTATTCATGCAGATTAAAAATCCCAAAGATGGCAGATTAGACACATACACCTTCTGATACTCCTGCCGTAAAAAACCAAAAAACAGAATGAAACAGATATGGATGACAATCAGGTCACCCAGACAGCAAACAAAAGGATAAATTAGGTTGGATATGTAAAAGAAGGAAGAATTGAATGAAAACAGGAAGCCTAGAGACCATAGGCACCTTCCCAGCTGGCCCAGTGCAGCAAGACCTCAAGACAACATGAGCTGTGTTCTCAGGTGAGAAACAGGAAGGCAACTGCATGGCATTGCTTCTAGGGGACAGGCATTGTGTAGACAAATCAGGAGTGTGGGGTGAGCAGAAAGTGCATGGGACCCACAGAAGGAAAGTGTAGAAAGGTGGGTGAGAGGCCTAGGGGTCCAGGCAGCCACAGAGCATGGAGGGAGGCAGAAAACATGGACAGAACTTTTTACCAGGGTGGTCTCTGATCACCCTTATCCAGAACAGGCCATGTGTCGGGTCACAAAGCAAGCCTCAAGAAATTAAAAGACATCAAAATGCTACAAAATATCTCAGTTCAAAATGTTATAAAATTAGAAATCAACAAGAAGGTCAAAGGGGGAAAGTAAAATACATGGAAACTAAACCATATTCTGCTGAATGCCACTGGGTAATAGAAGCAATAAGAAATGAAAAACTTACTTGAAACAAATGAGAATGCAAACAACATACCAAAATCTTTGCAACATGGTAAAAGTGGTACTCGGGTCAATTTACAGCACTAAATACACATATCAAAAAGCACAAGTCAGTGAAACCAGAAACAATACAAAATATCAACAAGACTAGAAATAGGGTCTTTTAGAGGATCCATAAAATTGAGAAACCATTGGCCAAACTGGCAAAGGAAAAGAAGTAGATGTAAATGTTAATCAAAATAAGAAATGAGATGAGTGGCATTACACAAGAAACCAAATGAGAGAAAAAGGGATTGTCACAGCATGCCATGAAAGAATACAAAGTTTATACTCCAGTAAACTTTACTACTTAGAGGAAATAGACAAATTCCAAGAAACATACTACCTACTTAAACTAATACAAACAAAATTTGAACAGACTCATAAAATAGCAGGTTTTTTAAAAAAAAATCTCTTTACTTGAGGGTTCCACCTAAAGGTTTACTTGTCTAAGAGCTGACCTTAGAATCAGCACTGTACGATGATGGTAAGAACAGTGGTTGGTAAGAGATAGGAAGCATAAGCTGGGGTCTTTTAGCGCCCAGAGAAAAGCCTGTCACATAGACATAGGTAAGGACTCTGAGTGGGGAGGAAGCTGACAGCACCCACCCTGAACAGCTGGGGCTTATGATCTGCCCTGGAGATCTGAATTTCAGTTCTTCAGTCAGGGAAGGCACTGATGCTTATGTCTGTTCATCTCCAGAAGCACCTCAGATCTGTCATGACTTTTTTTTATGCATTCATTTTTAGAAATCCTAAATAAAACATGAGCCAGAGATGGGGGAAAAAATCTCTTTACAATAACAACAGAAGCCCAGCCCAAACAACTTCACAGGAGAATTGTACCAAATATTTAGACAAGAGTTGACATAAATTTGTTTCAAACTGGACCAGAATATAGAAAGAGAAGAGTTACTCCCTAATTCATTTTATGAAGTCAGCATAACCCTGATGCCAAAAGAAGACAAAATTATCATTATATTAGAACATTGTAGACAAGTATCACTCATAATTATTCACAGAAATTCTCAACAAAATTCCAGCCAATGTAATTCACATCTTATAAAAAGTTAATACATTGTGATCAGCTTGGAGAAATAGTGTATGATCTAGCAATCCTACCCTTAGGTTTATGTTCTAGACATTTAAAAGCTGAGACACAAATACACAGTTGCACATTTATGGTCACTGCAACATTTTTCACAATAGCAAAAAGATAGAAACAAGCTAAGTGCCCACCACTGATGACTAAATAAACAAGTTGTGCTGAGGGAAGTAAGTTCATCACACACACACAAAAAAAACCCCCCACCAAATACTGTGTGGTGCTACAATTAAAGCCAAACTTGATATACAGAAAGGA